ATGAAAACAAGTTAACGAAAAAACATAGTATTTATTACGCATGACACTCGCGATATCATTTATCAAGATGATTTTAACAACGTATGAATTATAAGAATCGGGTTAAGCCGTTTAGTAATTACGAGGGAACATAGGGTCGGACATACATACATACCTACATACATACAGATCAAACACATAACCCTCCTTTGAGCTTCGCAAACGGGTAAAAATACACATATTCCATATCATGTGGTAATAATTTTAAAAGAACCACAATTTAAAACCGCGTTCAATTGCGGCTTTTCCACTCATTTGTTTCTAGCTACTGTAATTATGAAAATACGGTACGCTTTATCAATAAGCCGATACGTATCTATGCGTGCCTGAACTCATCAAATATCCTGAATTTATTTTTATTACCCCCTTCATAGGTACGATATGTTTCCCCTTCGGTGGAACGATAATATGAAATATCATCCACTTTTTAAACGCGGTCACGGTTTCTAAGGCAATTTTCATCATTAGAGTCGTGAATCAATAAAATTTTATGTAAATTATTAGATCCAGAAAGGAATTGATGTTTTAAGTCATATATGTAGTAAAAAATCAAAATTTCTTTTTCGTCATAATAAAGCTGGTCTAAGTTCGGTCAAAATAAGAAAAGAACACTTTAGTACCTATATAAAGTAATTATTTTATAAATTTGGTACGAATTCTTCTATAGAAATCACTGTGTTGAACTGAACACACATTCTTTATCATTTTTGTATATTTTGCAATCGATAGTTTATGATCATTTCTAGGAAAGTAGGTATTCAAAACGTATTGAAAAATTAAATAGTACTTAGTATAGAAACTAAGGCAGTGGTAGCCCAGTGGTAACGCGCTCGCTTGGGAAACCGAATGAAGTGAGTTCAAATCCCGGGTCTCGCACCTCTGATATTTTCATGTGTGAATCATTTCCAACATGATTACCACTTGTCTTAACGGTAAAGGAAAACATCGTGAGGAAACCTGCATGTCTGAGAGAACCTAGCAAGTTTTCAAAAGACATGTGAAGTCCGCTAACCCGCACTTGGCCAGCGTGGTGGACTATGGCCTGATTCCCCTCGTGCTGAAGGGAGGCCCGTGCCCAGCAGTGGGACGTTAAAAAGGGCTGAATACATGGAAACTATTAGTCTCCTTTAGACAAAATTCTCCAAAAATTCGAATGAGGAGTATGTACTAATTTCCACTTATGGGGAACGTGTGCAGTTTCTAATCTATCTCTCTCTCAGTTAATAATCTATCTCTGTGCCAAATTTTATCCACATCTGTTCAGCCGTTTTGGCGTGAAACAGTAACAAATATCCATACATACACACAAACTTTCAATTTTATAATATTTATATATTTACATTTATTTTACAGATAATTGTTTCAATAATGCCAATTAACAAGTAGGTACACCTACGTATCAAATAATTTATATCTAAAGTAATATATTTTATTGTTTTGGTTAACTGAAGCGTATCGAGTAGCAATTCATGCGTTGCGAATACAAATTTATCATTCCACATGAATAGGCTATTGAAGTCTATGCGTATAAGATATGATAAGCTCTCGCAGTTAGCGGATTGAGAAGAACTAGTGACTCACCCTCGCTTCTCTTGGGTTCGTCCCTCTGTACGTTTTGACGCTAAGTATGGAATAGATAGCCAATAAATGAGTATACGTTATAGGTATGATGATTGATCTCCATACAAACTTTAATCCCCGTTTTCACTCACGGATAAAAACTATCCTAGGTCATTCCCAAGGTCTCAAACTATTTTCATGCCTCTAAAACGGTTCAGCGAAATAAGCGTGAAAGGTAACAGACAGACAGACAGTGTTACTTTCGAATTTATAATGATATGATGATAGTATGAATGGTATCTAAAAATCAAACTTCAGATTTGATTTCAAAACATCAACTTTATTTACTTTCAATAAATATAATACATACATACAATATTATACAAAAAAATCCCTAAATGATAAAAAAATCGTATCAAAATTTGTTTCTACTTTAGAAGCACTAAGCGCATATTTTTATTGTTCACTAATAGTTAATAATTAAAGCCTTTGACAATATACATTTGTAACACTCAAACTATGTATGTACATATGAGTATATACCTACATATCCATTAAACATTTTATTCCACAATTCTCACTCATCCACCACCAGCTCTGAGAGGTAATCGGTAAATAGATTTTGTGCTTATTTTAAAATCTGTAGAATTTAAAAAAAATGCTTTAATATAATTTATTGTTGTATAAATTATATTAATCATATTTCCTACCTAGCTACATTAAAATTGTACAAATATTGACAAACTAACAAAATTTCAGTGACCTATCGTTTGTGGATCGCATTCAGTGTCACCGACCTCCAACCAGTAACCAGTCGGTCCACGTTTCAGGCACGCACTTTATCTGCTTTAAACTTGATTTTTAATAATTATATATTTATGTCATATTGTTTTTTTCCTTTCTCTTTTCTCAATTTTAATTGATTTTTAAAATATAAACACGAATTTTAAAGGTAAATATATCAATAAGATGATGACGTAAACTTTTATTGACTTATTTAAATATAGCTCTATATAAAATACTAGCGACTCACCCTCTCTCCGCTCGTGTTCGTCCCTAGTTACGTTTAGTATAGATATCTAAAAGATATTTTCCTGCAGTAAAAGTATGCTATATTATGATCCGCTATTAAATTTTATCAAAATCTTTTCAGTGGTTTTCTCGTGATCCGTTCCTAAACAGACAGACAGGCAGATAAAAAATCTAAAAACTATAGATTCGGCCTCTGATTCGATGATAATGACTATTTCAATAAGATTTTCCAAAAAATATTTAATGTATAGATTCAACTAAGAATTTTATTATATGTAAGTATAGATTTTGCTGTATTTAAATTGTTTTTCTTACCAAAAAAATATCATAATAAAAGATTCATAAAAATTGCTTGAATCTTATCTTAGATTAGCACTGATTACACACTTTATTGTAGTAATAGAATTTAAAAATGGACGATATATGCTAACAGAAAACTTTACTTACTCAGAGCTTTTGTTTTCAGGCAAAACTTAAGGTCTGATTTTTCAAACATTAAATTACTTATGGAATATAATAAAGCACGAACAAACAAACAAATTTAGCATGAAATAGCAATCGTATCAACATATAAAATAATTGCACTTTGAATTTTATAGATATACAGTACTTCAGATCATAGTTAAGTTTTACCTGAAATTTAATATTCAGACCTAAAATAATAATTTTGTCTACAAATAAAACCTCATGTTTTTTTGTCAGGTACATTTATTGCATGTTTCATGAATTTATTAGTTCATCTATACTAATATTATAAAGAGGTAAAGTTTGTGACTTGTGAGTTTGTGACGTTGTAGGGGGTAATCTCTGGATCTACTGAACCGATTTAGATGAACTTTGGAAGAAGATAGTTTGAGACCCTGAAAAGGGCATAGGATACTTTTTATTCCGGAAATCATCCTTTAAGAGGGTGAAAATAAGGTTGAAAGTTTGCACGGAGAATCAACCTAGGGACGAACACGAGCGAAGCGAGGGTGAGTCGCTGGTACTCCTATTATATTCATAGCAATAACATGAAAGGCTAAAAATACGTGACATGTCACAGTAATTTGTAAGTGTATCGTATATAATAACCTCAATTACGATACTTCTAGTAATTTGAACTTTCTGTTCGGAGGGAAATGAACTCTATACAAAATGTTAGGTGTAACAAAAAACTGTAAATGGTTCTTATTTGTTCCTTTAAACGCTATTATACATATTTTATGAGTAGATATCGACAAAGAGACCTAATAATCCTATTTATATTATAAACGTGAAAGTTTGTGAGTATGTATGGATGTTTGTTACTCTTTCACGCCAGAACGGCTGAACGAAGATAGATTATAGTCTGGAATATCACATCGGTTACTTTACACTTTTTATCCCGGAAAAATGTACGGCTCCCGTGACCCGTGGGATAGATTTATTTTTGTCTAAAAACGAAGCGAAGCGTGAATGAGTCGCTAGTAGAGAATAGTGTTTTAAAGAGTTGCCAAGTGTAGGGGTCAATATTGTTTTAATATTATCATAAGATATATTGTCCTCCTTACTCCTTCACGTTGTAACGACTGAATGAATTTAGATGAAATTTATACACAAATAGATTATGATCTAGGAAAATACACAGACTACTGTCAGGCACCCAGGGATGCACCCGAGCGAAATCAGGATATATCGCTAGTCTATTAATACTTAGCTATACATTTTCATTACAATTATAATAATATAAGATCGGACAACGAGCATGTTACTTTAAAAGTTAAGACTTGTGAAGCAGAAGCACTCTGTAATGTGCATATCTTAAGACTGAACTGTCGTGTCCATATCTCTGGACCGTTATAAATTGTATTACATATAAGGACACATATTACCAAAGAATGGAATATACATATATTATTTATATATGAAACTAGCGACTCACCCTCGCTTCGTTCGGGTTCGTCCCTACATACGTTTTAACAGATGTTATGAAATACAAATCTTTAAATTTCTCGGCTTTTCTGTGCTATAATATGCTTGTCTTATACATATGAACCTTCCTCTTGAATTACTTTATATATTAAAAAAACCCGCATTAAAATCCGTTGCGTAGTTTTAAAGATCTAAGCATACATAGGGACAGACAGCGAAAAACGACTTTGTTTTATACTATGTAGTGATTAAATATGTAAGCCATCTGTTCAATGATCATAAATACGGTATGTTATGTACTATTTTTCAAAAAATAAGAGCTTTACACATTACGTAAGACTCGTAAAGCAGTTTCTTTAAGACGACCTTAAATTTTAAAGTCAAGAAATATAGCAATATACTTTTAGTATCTCTAAATTTATCAAATATCGAGGTTTTCATACTCTACCAACTTTATTTAAAATTATCTTCCACAGAGGGAATGTATCTCTGTCCACATCGGCCAAGCTGGCGTCCAGATCGGCAATGCTTGCTGGGAGTTGTACTGCTTGGAGCATGGCATCCAGCCTGATGGCCAGATGCCTTCCGACAAGACCCTGGGAGGAGGAGACGACTCCTTCAACACCTTCTTCAGTGAAACTGGAGCCGGCAAACACGTGCCCAGGGCTGTCTTTGTTGACCTTGAGCCTACTGTCGTTGGTAAGTTTATATAAACGTTTAACTAAAAAAAATACTACATACACAATCACGTGCAAAAGTTATCTTAAAACTGTCATCAATTGTGTTTATTTAATGAATCTACTTGAAATAAATATATAAAAACATAAATTCAACTTTAAAGTTCTTTTCACAAAAAAAATATTAAAAGCGCGCTCAAATGTTCAAATGAGCGCTCATTCGGTGACGACATATTTTGTCGCCTATTGTGTATCTAGTACTTTTTTGATCGATGTTACTTATAGTGCGGCATACATAAATTCGTTGGCTCACTATTACAAGGTTCTAAGTTACAATTTTAGTACTTATTTAGTTATTAATGCTACAAGGTTCTATGTGTCATTAGCTACAGTTTTGCAAAAACAAACCACTAGATAGCAGCACTATAACTACAAAATATTCAATTTTACATAGTTCTATGTTGTTTTTTTACGATAACAAAATAACGAAGTTCTATGTAAAAATTACTAAACTTCATTAAAATCAACATAGAACCTTGTAATAGTAAGCCAACGATTATGAGTATGTATGTATGAGTAGACGAGTCGAAGCAAATAAGCGGCAGCTTGTTATTATGCGAGGCTCTTTATTAAAATATCGATTTCCTTTCGTGTATAAGATTGATACGAAAAAATTTAATTCTTACTATTTCTTCTCGATTTAATGTTTAATAAAAATATTATTTTCATTTATATTTGTTTATGCATTTTATAATGGCTCTAGCTTCATGCTATAAAATAATAATGCTAGAGATTTTCTATTATAAAAATATAAGATACAAAAATATAGATTTAATCAATATAATAATATAGAATTTATCTTTTCGCAATAAACTAACATCCTTCTAATAAATATTTTAACTGACTCTCTTCACTTCTATGACAGGAAATGATAAAAAAGCTAAGCATTAGATGTAATTTTAAACTCAAGAGGCATCTGTAGCTTACGATTAATGGCTCGGGAATTAAAGCAGACAAAAACCTACGCGCAAATTATCTCCTTAAGCACATTTCATACTTGTAATATTAAATTAGTATTACCGCTTTATGCGTATAACTACAGTTCGCGTATTTTAGATATGAAATAAAATTAAATTTTATTCAATTAGACTTATCTGTATAAGCTTGTGTACTTCTGAATCGACAATTTAATTTTAAGAGCGTCATTGTATACATGTGTATACCTAATGATATCAGTTAGTTTATAACCTTTCTCGTAAATGCAAAAGGTTATATAGTATATACCAAATACACGAAGAAGTTTTCAAATTGGAGATGTATTTCTAGAGATTAGTGCGTACAAGTAAGACATCACTGTGGGATTTTAGTCTTATGCAAAAGTGTACTAAACTCGTGCTTATTATACGTAGCCATAAAATTTTAATATTAAATATATATTTAATTATATAAATGATTAGTGTGTAATCACCCTTAAAGCACAAAATCTCGTTGAGATATCCGGCGTTCATCGAACCCGATGCAAGTTGCAAGTACCCGTTATTACCGCACCGTGTCATTTCATAGCCCATAGGCAGGTACTCTCCACGCTGAAAATTCGCTTTGATAGTAATAGAATTATCGATAATACCACAATAGAAAAATATGACGATGAAAGTAATAATTGGCTTTACAGTTAGCATGGTTTTAGCTTTATAAGCTGTTTTGAGGAACTTAAATAAGTTGCGCTTTACAGTTTCCTAGAAAGAAGCAAATAATCTATAATCTATACATATAATAAAATTGTAACAAAGTCGAATCTGTACATTAAATATTTTTTGGAAAATCTAATTGAAATAGACATTATTATCGATACAGAGTCCGAATCTATAGTTTTTAGAATTCTTGTCTGTCTGTCTGTTACCGCATCACGAGAAAACTAAACAGGACAGATTTTGATGAAATTTGGTATGATGATAGCTGTTTATCCGGGTCAACATATCTAGGATACTTATTACCGCGGTAAAATATCTCATTTCTGAGAAAAAATACAAAAACTGCATTGTACGAATATACTAATATGTATAACCTAAGAAATTGGTTTTTGGTCATCTGGACGCGGGCGGAGCCGCGGGCAATTCTAGTAACATTATAAAGAGGTAAAGTTTCTGAGTTTGTAAGGTTGTAGGGGGTAATCTCTGGATCTACTGAACCGATTTAGATGAAATTTTGGTAAGAAAATAGTTTGAGACCCTGGGAAGGACATAGAATACTTTTCATCCCGGAAATCATCCCTTAAGGGGGTGAAAATGGGGATGAAAGGTTGGATTGAAAAGCAAGCTAGGGATGAACCCGAGCGAAGCGAGGGTGAGTCCCTACTAAACTATAAAAGTTTTGAACTGTTTAAAAATTTGTGTAACATATATAGCTCCTCGCCTACTTATCTAATAAAGTTTTTCGTTTATTGCCTGTACAATTCTCTATTATCTAACACAAGCTTTTTTTAACTGACACGAGTTAAAAGCACGTTACCTCGCGTCGAGCAGAATTTATTCAAATAAAGCTTTTACAATGAAGTGAATCGGTATAAATGCGTTATATTAATATTAATCGTATATTCAAATCAGCTTTCAAAGAACTGCTTGCACTTGCAGTGGGCTATAAAATTACGAACAGACACCGCTATGTGAAAAATGTAACAGCTAAAGATTTGCATAGTTAGAAATCCAAGTCGATACGCTTCGCCACACGGTCGCCTGGTCCGGCCTGGTGGTGGTCACACGCGAGTGACGTCAGTTTCTCACATTGTTTAATATTAAAAAAAAAAACAAAAATATACAAAAATAAATAAAAGAACATGTTCGTCTTGTAGTATTTCTTCTTTATTTGTTGTTAATATCTTTTAGTTAATTCGCCGTAATAACACCTTTAAACTAGATAAATGGACCGGAAAAGGTGTAGATTTTATTTTCAACAAACTTATACCTACTTTTTATTGAATCAAAATTTTGCTAAGAACTTCAATAGTACTTAGATTGTAAATTAAAATTTTACTACGCATTTTTCTTTTGAGTTTTATTTAGTTATTAAAAACTCACAATCATTGTTAAAAACAGCCTAAGCAGTTAATAAAAAAAAATGTAATGTAATGTAATAAAAAGAATATCTTACGTTAAAGCTTTTTACCTTTAATTATACCTTACTCTAACTTACTCTAATAAAAAATAATACTCGATAAATGATGATCGATGAAAGAGACGGATAGGCAAATAAATATATGGTAAAAATATAACAATTTAGGCTCAATTATAAACCTTTGCCATGCTGTTGTCATAATTTCACAAAAAAAAGAAACTTTAAAGTTTCCCATATTTAAAGTAGGTACATTTTAGAGTAGGTAGGATCTCAGAATATGGATTCAGATTTTATGAAATATTTGTATAAATTAACAATTACTGTCTGACTATGGTTCAATTAAAGCACTTGACTTTTGCTAATGAATGCAACGTTTTACTTGTTTTACACTGCATGTACACTGTGTCGGCGAGCAGACGCCATAACGATACCGTAATGGTTTTCTGCTGCATGAGACGCACTTGACGATATGCCCCTTGTAAATGCTTTCTCATTTTGATACAAGAACTGTTTATTTTTAATCATATTTCCAATATTTTATAACTTCTTATTAAGAAGTTATATAAAACCCAAGACATGTTTGAAAGTTTCAAACGCTCAGGATGCAGTTGGAGTTAGACCCTATTTAAGCAAAGCAAATCGTATTAAAATACCTATTATTATGGCTACTAATGGTACGTAACGGTACTGCACAAGTGAAGTAAAGTACCCAATTTCTTTCAAGATTATGAGCATTATCGAAAACTCCCATCAAAATGCTTGCTTTTAAGGTCGGACGTAGTAGCCTTCCTTATAAAGAATTAAATACTACGCGTGCTTTTACTGTTACTCGTCTTTTTACACGATTATTTATCATTGTCTCATCGAAGGTTTTTTGTTTTATTTCAAAAAGATATTATTAGCAATACCTGCTGTAGTAGTGGTTGGCTTCTTTAAAGTAATACTGTTCGAATATATAAGTAATAACAGCCCTAGAATTATTGGTACACGCTATATTTAAAATCAACTAAAATCGATTTAAATTCAGAGTTTCGCTCCTTTGAGATTTTCAAGTGAGTCTGGATTTTGGTGCGGAGATCTGTGTCCAGTAGTGGGACGATATAAAGAGAATTGTTTTTATTATTATTTACTTTATAGTATGTACTTAATTTTTAACTACAAAATATTGACCATATTAGCCTGTTGCAAAACGACGTTCGGGTGCGTCCCTAGGTGAGTAACTAAGTCATAATCTATCTGTGCATTAAATTTCATCTCAATCCGTCTATCTGTTTCAGACACGTACATACAAAAACACATACAAACTTTCGCATTCAAAATAGTATTCCGATTAATATACAATACCAGCGACTTACCCTCGATTCGTCATTATATCATAGGCTTTGCTTGAAATGCTTAAATTCTACCCTTTGCTTGAAATGTTTAGGAACGTATCAACGCCCTCGAAAAATCTTATTTGCGCCAGGAACCTTCGCAGGTGTATAGAGGATACCAGTTTCATCACAATCGGATAAATGGTTTAGAAACGCATAGAGGACAACCATACAAACATTTATATACATAAATATTATAATCGAAGATAATAATTCATATTAATAATATCTAAAATGAATTCTAGATGAAGTCCGCACTGGCACATATCGCCAGCTGTTCCACCCTGAACAGCTGATCACAGGCAAGGAGGACGCGGCCAACAACTACGCACGCGGCCACTACACCATCGGGAAGGAGATCGTGGACGTCGTCCTCGACAGGATCAGGAAGCTGGCTGACCAATGCACTGGGCTTCAGGTATGATTAGGCAAAGTGTAATGTATCAAGAATAATAAAATACTCATTTTTATTTTTTAACAATAAAAAAAATCATTTTTAACAATGTTCTAGTAGTTCATCCCGTTTCCATTTCTCACCAAAGCATATCTGATATAGATTGCTTTAAGCAATGCATGACTCTTGTATTTTCTCATACAAATCATTCAATGATAAATAATTGCGTTTATGTAACAGGGCTTTTTGGTGTTCCACTCGTTCGGAGGCGGCACCGGCTCCGGCTTCACTTCTTTGTTGATGGAACGCCTCTCCGTGGACTACGGCAAGAAGTCCAAATTAGAGTTCTCCATTTACCCTGCACCTCAAGTAAGCTCATCTGCCTTGAGTACTTTTAAATAAATATATAGCTATCACGTTGAAGGTGTTATAAATTCTTTGAATATGTATATGTAAATATATTTTTAATATATTTGACTTGTGTAAAGAAATAAAAGATTTGTTAGTAAAAGAAATAAAGGTATATTGTTTCTACTACTACTCCAGAAATTCTTAGAATAATAGAAAGCTACACACATTATCCCTGATTCCACATTTACAATGGAACATTATGTAATCCCGTGCCCAGCAGTGGGACGGTAAAAAAGTTAACCAAAGTGCTAAAACTAAGTCTTTCGCCAGGTGTCAACAGCAGTGGTAGAACCTTACAACTCCATCCTCACCACGCACACCACGTTGGAGCACTCGGACTGCGCGTTCATGGTCGACAACGAGGCCATATACGATATCTGCCGCAGGAATCTGGACATCGAACGTCCTACATACACCAACCTTAATAGGCTCATTGGACAAGTAAATAGAAATGGTCTTGTATGAATTAGATGTTATTATTGACCTCATAGTAACGTAGATAGGAAAATCAATTTGCCTTATTATACTTAATTCTTATACGAAAAAAAAAATACTAAGCACGTAGCCCTAAACGTCTTATATTATGTTTCCAATTTGTTATCTAAAAGTAAACTGAAAACCCTATTTCCCTCCGAAAACATAATGCTCAAAATCTCCGATTTACTTTCTAGATTGTATCCTCGATTACCGCATCGCTCCGCTTCGACGGCGCCCTCAACGTGGACCTCACAGAGTTTCAGACCAACTTGGTGCCGTACCCGCGCATCCACTTCCCGCTTGCCACCTACGCGCCCGTCATCTCCGCAGAGAAGGCTTACCACGAGCAACTCACTGTTGCTGAAATTACCAATGCCTGCTTCGAACCGGCCAACCAGGTATTAATAACTATATCACTCTATTAACGAGTATTATGCATAATATCGTCTTGACTTGTCATAATAACTTATTATCAATTTTGAGGTTAACCATATGGTATTGTAGTGAAAAAGGATGAACGCTAACAGAAGTGCACTCTATTCCTTTTAATTTTAAAATCCGATGAGACGACACTTTCACTGACTAGTGAAACACAACACCAACATCCCAAATGCGGACTCTTCTTCTCCCTGCCCATTTCCCAATCACTTGGGGTCGGCGCAGTACATCTTCTGTACTGCTGAAAGGATTTGGGAAAAGTTTTACGACCGGCCGGCTGCCTGACGTCAACCCTCCTCGGGAATGCTATTGTGTCTCTTTATCTGAATGGTGTCGCGGAAGTCGTGTAATTATTATGCACTTTCGATTTTGTTGTCTTTTAGAACATTAGTCCCAAATGCGAACTGTTTCTAAGAATTTCTTAACAGAAAAACACAATACCTATACTTCGCCCGATCTGGAAATCGAACTTAGAGCCCCCGGATCTACAGATTTGTGTATCTGAGCTTAAAAAAAAGTATAACAAATAAAAATTAAATAAATTGACAAACTATGTAAATGGGAAAATGTTTAAAGATTGTCATTTCCAAAATGAGGGATATTTTTTTTAGCAAAAAAGAAATAAAATGTCGTAAAAATTTGTAAAATTCACACTTCATTCACAAAAATACATTAAAATTTATTAAAATAAATAGCTTTTTAAATATGCAAAATATTATTTGAAGGCGCACTGCGGGAATTAATCTCCCTATCACTTAGCGTAAAGTCCTGGCGCGCAGCCAACTTGCGGTTTGAGCCAAGTTTGTATTGTACCATGGAAACCGCTGTTAACTCGAGCTTTACGATTGTTTTGTGAAACTATTGAAAACATGACAAGTGTTATCAACCTATATCTAAAGCCTAAATTCTAGTATATTTAAATTATGTAATATGTCTGTAGTCTGTAAAAAACAATCTGGCGATAACATTATAATAATAACATAAGAGAAACTATCGAGCGAAGGTATCGCTTCACTCAGAATTTAATAGTAACTTTGTTTAAATATTTTTTTTCAACAACTGATTTAAGCTCTTCGTCTGTCCGATGTGGTTGTATTCCCCCAAATTGTCCCCCAAATATATATATTCTTTATTGCACTAAACAAGTAATAAAAATATACATAGAAAATGACGTGGACAAAGGTGGAAATAAATGAAAAAGGTGGTAATATTAATTATAAAATAAAAAAGAAAGTAAATATTCTGTCTATTTTTTCAGATGGTGAAATGTGATCCACGCCATGGTAAATACATGGCATGCTGTATGTTGTACAGGTAATATTAAGTACATACATATATTATTCAGCTAAATTTTAATTTGCATGAATAAAACACCTATGATATTGCCTTATCAACATTAAACACTTTTTAAGTTATACGTCTTTTGGCACGTTTGGAAAAAAATATGATAGTAAAATTTTTACGATGCGCGCGTACACCGTACCTACAAGAGTTTTGACATACGGGTAATCTTTAGCTATTTTTGTTCTGTTACGCCAAAAAAGTATAACTTCTTACGTGCGTACATAAGTACACACACACACTTTTTTATAATGAAAATTTAAAATTTCATTTATCTGTATGCAATTATTGCAGAGGAGACGTAGTCCCTAAGGACGTGAATGCTGCTATCGCAACCATCAAGACAAAGAGGACTATCCAGTTTGTGGACTGGTGCCCCACAGGTTTCAAGGTAAAATTTCACGGATTTATTATTACTTAAATAAGCGCAATTAGGCGTTAATTTATAAAATCAAAAGTCTTTCTGTTTTGACATGCAGTTATTATCTTTAGACCCATACTAAATAGGTAATATTCAAATTTATTTTGTCCACTTATTGTGTTTAATAGACAGCTGTTAGAAAAATAGTAATTTCGAGAAAATCTGAAAGGCTTTTCTTTCGATTTTTATGTGAACTTAGCCCGTCCAAATTGCAATTTTGTTTGTGGTCCACACACAAAATTGCATTTTGGACAGGATACCGTCTTTCGGCTCTGCTCGATTATAATTTGTTCCTATATACAGGTGGGCATCAACTACCAGCCCCCCACTGTAGTCCCCGGCGGCGACCTCGCCAAGGTGCAGCGCGCAGTCTGCATGTTGTCTAACACCACTGCCATCGCTGAGGCATGGGCCAGGTAAATACAAAGCTTAAAATGCTATTTAAAATTCATTTTGTCGTCCTTTACTAATTGTTGTTACATAGTGATTTTATGAAGGTAATTGTCCTACATACATATGTATATTTTATTTCTAGTATTGCTCGCGGCTTCGCCCGCGTTCAGATGACCAAAAACCAAATTCTTAGGTTTTACATATTAGTATCCTCTTACATTGCAGTTTTTGTATTTTTTCTCAGAAATGAGATATTTTCCCATAAAAACGTAAAAGTATCCTATATGTTGACCCGGATAAGCAGCTATCATCATACCAAATTTCATCAAAATCCCTCCAGTGGTTTTTCTGTGACAGACAAAAACAGACAGACAGACAGACAGACAAAAATTCTAAAAACTATAAATTCGACCTCTGTATCGAAAATGATTAAGTTCAATAAGATTTTCCAAAAAATATTTTATGTACAGATTCGGCTTTGTTAAAATTTTATTATATGTATAGGTAGATCCCAATCGTTCAGTAGTTTTCAAGATTAGCGCTTACGTAACTATATATCGCAGAAAAATTGTAAAAACCCTTAATTTATAATTTCACTAGTTAAATTAATTATATTTGCCCGGAGTTTGAAAGTTAACTGACCATATCCTGTTTATAGACTCGACCACAAATTCGACTTGATGTACGCTAAGCGCGCTTTCGTGCACTGGTACGTGGGAGAGGGAATGGAAGAGGGAGAGTTCTCCGAGGCCCGCGAGGACTTGGCTGCACTAGAAAAGGACTACGAAGAAGTCGGAGTCGACTCCACTGAGGGTGAACTTGATGAAGAGAACGAATACTAGACCACTAGGGAAAATACCAAACAAATGTCAAAGATATTACGTAACCCTTCCTAGTGTTGCAATTTAAAAAAACTACCATTTTGGTAGAATTTGGTAGATTTTTATTATATACCCCCATATTAATTTAACAATGTAATGTTAACTTTCATACAGTGATTTTACACTATTTTTAAGTTAACAAATATCTAGTTTTAAGGAAAGTGTGAGCTTGTCTGGATGTAAGAATGCTTATTAACAGTACAAACTTTTGAAATACAATTTCCGGGCGAAATAAAAAGTTTGTAGCTCTGTATCATGGATAAAGATTCGCATTTATTAATTATAAAAAACCGTGATAATATGATTTAATAATTCGATAATGGATTTGAGAATATTGATTTTATATTTTTTTAATTAAGCTAATTTATAAAAAATATATATTATAATTATGCTTCTTAAAATATTATGTAAGGAATGATAATTTATTTGAATGCACAATAAAAATCTTTTACACTTAAACACTTTTATTTGTTCAGTAAACAGACATCCAGGAACACCAAGTATATTTTTTAAAAATAACAAAATACTCTATAGAGATAGAAGTTAATAAATTCAAGTGTATTAATACAAAAATAAAAATATAAGGATTGATATTAAAAAAATAAGTTTTCAAAATATGCAATGCACCAATAAAATAATTCCTCTTATTGAATATAGTAAATAGACATATGAAATACGTTCGCTTTTACAGTGAGGTTTAAATTCGTTACTTTATTTTGAGATCGTCATCTTATTCTATGATTTATATAAAATGCCTTTACCTTGTACTTATAAAATACTTAAATGTATATTTGTTTTTTATCTGTACCACAGATAATAAATATTGACATGCTATTTCCTTTGCATCTAATAAGAACGATTTAAGTTATTTATAGTGCCACAAACTTATCTGACCCTGTAACGGCGTAGTTGTTGTTGAATTTAGTGTTGCCGCTAAGTAGGATTTCCGCAGTTTTTAGGGTGAAAATAATGACATCGTCTATGTGCACAAGAAGTAATCCAAATATAAATTTGCTGTTTTAGTCATTAATATACAACATGATACAATATCAAAACACATTTTTAATGAATTATAATATTATTTTATAATTATAATCACGTGACATTTCAAAATATCGACACGTAGTTCCAGTTTTGGCCACCGGGTCAGATAAGTTTGTGGCACTATAACAGTTTATTAAATGAATATATTAATATACAAAAGATTAGCAACAACAACAGTCAGACGTTTACTTTTGGCTTAATTAACTAGATACTTTTAAGGTAACAATATAATTAAGAATTTTTGAATTTTATAGAGGATAGATTTTGGACAAAACAGTCAACAAAAGAACAAAATTAATATTATAATTTTCAATATAAACCTATTGGTTAGTTTCGATTAGGATATTAAATATAGATAGGTTAGTGGTTATTTACAAAACAAAACAATTGTATAGTTAATTTAAAACTTCCTACATATTACTCTTTTGGATGCCGTAGGTTTTAATTCTCGCGATGGAAAATTAAATGATAAATGTTATACAAACATATTCTTTTAGTAGATATTAAATACGCTAACAATTCCATGAATTAATACGACTCAAAGTATGCCTATTTAATTAATACAAAGTATTTTAGCAGAATGATTACAGGAATGAATCAGTGTTAATTTATTAAAACAATAGATAAAAATGAGTCACTAGCAAAAATATAAAGGTCTAATGTCATTAGTGAGCTAGTCGGGTTTGTGTTTATCGCTAGGTGCGGGCGCGTCAGTGCAGGGCGCGGCCGCGTCCCGCGGGAACCAGCCGCGCGCGCCGCGCCGCCCCGCGCCCCCGCCCCCGCCCCCGCCCGCGCCCGCGCCCGTCAGCTTCTCACCGAACAGCCAGTGTCTGTGGACGAATAGCATTAGTATAATAAAATATTAAAAAGTGCGTGTTCGATGTTCTCCTAGCCGATTCCGGCTACAGCGGCCAATCTCATTGAGATTAGCCAACTGCGCAGGAGATATTATAGTGCAGCGCGTGTACGCGCAGACACAACGTGCACTCTCTGTTCCTGTCACACTCATACTCCGATGGGACGACCACTCGACTCGACACGGCTTTACGTGCTCTCCGAGGCACGGCGGTGAAACACCGCCAACTTCCCAACTCCAGGCTGTTACTGAGACTTACTATACAGAAAGACTCAATAACTAAACTTGTCCCGACCCGGAACTCGAACCCAGGATCTCCTAGTGTGCAGCCGTACATGCTAGCCACTACACCACCAAGGCAGTGAAAAAGGCGTGTATCAATGTGTACACGCGCCAGAAATGAAACTTTTGTAGGTTATCGGTACATTTTATGAACTTCAATTTACGTAATACTTTCTTAGATTTACGCGAATATTTGACATTTTAAATAAAACTATCTTTTCGGATTTTGTCGCGGATTTATGATATATAACAAATCCGATCCGATCCGATCCAATAAAACAAAATCCGAAAAGATAGTTTTATTTAAAATGTTCAATTTACGTTTTAAATATTATTAGTATGCGAGATTATTATTCTTCGATATATTAATATCATAGTTTAAATAATTTTTAATTGACTATTCACTTCCGTATTAACCGTTTCCGTTACGAAAATCGTAACGCCAATACTTTTTTCCCTCTCATGGCGCACCTAAAGAAGTTTCACATCAATAATAATAATAATAATTGTTTATTTGTATCAAAATATTAGTTACAAAAATATATTCTTTACACAACTGTTTCGCTTAAGACATAATATAAGATTATTCAGAAGGAGCGCTTAGGAGCCCGTACTAGGCAAACCTGATTACGAGCACGAATACGAATAAATACGAAAACTTGTGGATGAATGATTGTGAGTGAATGATGATTAAGTGCATTATAAGAGTATGTGTAAGTGTACGAATGAGTGAATAAGTTAGAAAGCAAGCTTGTTATATAACTTCTTTCTGAACAAAGTCATAGATGATATTACCTATATATTTTTTATTTGGGTCATTTACAAGAGAATTATATTGATTTTATTCAACAATCAATGATTTAGATGTAAGTGGAAACTTTAAAAAATAAGGTAATTTTAACATATATTATAGGAAAATAAAGTAATATATCGAGTTAGGGTTTTTATATTTTTCCAATAAATAGTGAATGAAGTTCTATATTTCATACAAAGGAATTAGACGGCCCGAATTCAGGCTTTTTGTTGACCTTAAGAGACGATAGATGGCGTTGATCCGCAAACTGTCGAATTATTTTATATGTATTTAAATATGGTGAAAGAAAACATCGTGTGCATATCTGAAAGAATATAGCAAGTTTTTGAAAGACATGTGAAGTCCACCAACCCACACTTGGCCATCGTGGTAGACTATGGTCAATGCTCAGAATATGTTAGAGTGAGAAGTTAAAAGGGTAGAATATATGTTAAACATAGCAAAATTCGTTTTGCATTTAATTAAGTAAATTTCTGAGACTGACTAGACTGTTACAAAAAAATAATGGAATACGTTTTCCTAAATAATTTTTTTGTAATTTTACTGATGGATGAAAAGTCAATAATTATGTAATGAGTTTATCCTATATATATTAATAGATGGCGCTGCATATATATAAACTCATATTTTTTATTTAGGTTAATAGGTCACAAGAACAAATTATTTTTTTTTGTTTAAATTAGGATATTTAATATGATTAACTCAATATAAAATATAAAAATAAATAAATTAATTAATAATATCATACACTATGTATATAAAGCTAAATCGTTTTATAACTAAAATTTTATAATAATAATAATAATAATTTATCCAGTAAAAAGAAAAGCACGTGCGGTGCGTACCTGCGGCGCCGCGTGGCGCGCAGCGTGTCGCCGGGCGCCAGCGGCAGGCGCGGCTCGTCGCTGCAGGGCGGCGCCAGCGCGGCGCGCGGGTACCGCAGCGGCAGCCAGCGCCCGGAGTACGCGCGCCGCGCCACGTACGTGCGCGCGCGCGCCGCCTTCTCCACCTTCTGCGCCTTCTGCTCTATCTACACACACACACACACACGTGTGGATAGGACTTCAATGTCACACATATACACACGTGAGGATAGCTCTTTATTGTCAAACTTCTAAACACGTATGGATAGGACTTTATTGTGACATCTACATTTACGCGTGTGTGGTCGCTTTAGCTTTATTATTTAATATTTAAATGGAATAAAAGCCCACAACTTTTTCAGAATTTTATTAAAGGAAGGCAGTAGGGGTTCTCCCGCGACTCTGCTCGCATTATTTATTTATGAGTATTTACACCATTCTTTAAGAATCAGAATAAATGTCAAATAGACTTTAACCTCACTCAAAAAACTGATTATGAAATGCAATATAACTTTACCTATTTAATGTTAATATAAATATATTAGTTCAAGCCTAAAAGTTTAATATTCATACCATTGACAGACAGCACGAGTTTTTGGTATCTTTGCTCTATTTTTTTATTTTGTATCATGATTTTCTCGTTATGTAATATTTAAATCAACTCACTGTAAGATCATATTCCCCACATCCCTCAGCGACCGGCCACCGTATCCCGTCGTACTTGGAGTCATGGAGGAGGAAATCTATATTGCTCTTCCAGCCGAGGTCGTACGGGAACACGAACGCCGGCAAGCCCGCCTCCTCCCGCCTGCACGTCGCCTTCTCTAATATCCAGTCCTCTATTGTAGTTCGATTCCGTATAATGCCACGAATCTGATTATGGAATAACAATGATCACAGTTATTTGGTTTATTCAATACTAACGACCCACTCGCCCAGCTCGGGTTCGTCCCTAATTACGTTTACAAGTTAGTTTAGTCAGTTAAAATGAGGCTAAAAAAATTGTGTTAATAACACATTACATGTTGTAAGTCTGCACAGTACACTGTATCTCCTAAAGGGTGAAGTTACAAAGTAGTTTACAATCATGGCTCAATATCAAGTATTTGTTATTTCAATTATCTATATAAGTAATTGGTTGTAACAATAAAAATTCTTGGCTGAAGTCCCGCTATTTACATTTTTAGACATTTGGCATTGAGAGTGAAAAAACTGCCAAACATTTAAGCAATGGGTGTAAGAGGTTTAATATGTAATAAATTATATGAAACTATAGACAAGCCTTCGCTCAAGCAGAAAATTTGGGGTTATATTGATTTTTTATCTGTGAGAAATGAAAAAAAAAATATCAACTATAATAAGCTATATAACAGTGCTATTTAATGGATATTACAAATAAAGCTGCAACTGATCTAACTTTTTAAAATGTCACCTATCGATAAATAATGATATTTTTATTAAAATAAAGAAAATGATTCTAATAATTTTAAACCAGTGTTTTTTTTTTTAATTTCTTTTGTCAACATTCTCAGTAATTTACTGATTTACATAAATTCTTTTTATCTTCCATTTATATTTTCGTTTTTCTAAGTTAATAGAATAAGAATTTTAAGTAGCACTTTAGGTGACAATATAAATAGATTTAGATTATTACTATAGAATGTACTATAACCACCCCTTCCCCCACTCACCCGAAAAAGTAACTCCCTCCCAAAAATATCATCATCAACCCAAAAAGCCCACCTGCAAATACAGCAGCGCGCCGACGGCGAGCACGACGCCCACCGCCATGCCCGTGGCCAGCAGCGCCGCCAGCAGCGAGCCCAGCGTCAGGAACACGCGCGGCTCGCGCCCCGACCCGTGCTGCGCGTACCACACGCGGTTGATGGCGTGGTACAGGCAGATCGAGAGCACCTGCGTGTCATGGCAGGGTCACTTGTTTGTATATATTCGGCATTCAACATATACGAAGGTCGAAAGGTTTCGTCGACTTCATTTGGACAGAACTCAACGGTATCACGCATGGTTGATGGCATGGTACAGGCATATGGAGAGCATCGAGTCGTCGTCGAGTAAGGTTAAAATCGGAAATGTTAGGAATATGAAATTATTTAATGATTTGACTTTATTTGTAGGTTATCGTTTGGTACTACAATATGACTAACTAATATAGCTAAACAAAAGATATAACAAAAACTATGTAAACAATACAAAAGACACACATGGCTAAACATTTCTATGTCATAGTTTATTTAAAGTACATACTCCTAATTGATTTCAGCCGTAGCTAGTCTAACTGAAACTAACCATTTGCGTCGGACGTCGGTAATAAATCAAAAGAAGCACTGTCGGTTTTAAGTGGCATAGGGTGTAAAATTACCAACTTCCCAATTTTATCCTGTTATTAAGATTTCTTCAACAAAAACTTGAATAACTATACTTGGCCTGACAATCTACACGCACGACCCGAACCCAGGACCTTAATTGATTACTTAAACAAACAACTTATTATAAACTTAATGAATTCCAATTTCTAGGTAAATATGTATGAACTTAAATTAAGTATCTATTATGATAATATTAAAATCTTAAATACTAAGACTTACAATTGAAGCGTGCAAGCATCCCAGTACAGCAGCCATAAGGAACTTTGTGAAGTAGCTATGGTTGGTGTGGCCCACACAGCAGTTGATCCACGGACAATGATGGTCCATTTTCTTTACACAGTAACCACCTGTTGTCAATTAATAAATATATTAATAAAAAGATACACTAATAAATAAAAAAGTATAGATATTTTAATTTAATTTATTAAATCTTTAAAAAAACTTTTATTTTATTGTGGTAATGTTGTTCTAAAATTATTTTTAATCATCTATACAGAGTATGCATAATATAATATAAGTGTCTGTTTGTAATGTGAAAATAACAGCTTTTTACCAAATGTATTTGAAATTATACATGTGCTTATAAAAAAAATACATTTTATATATATAAATACATTTTATATACAATAATTTTTGTGTTTCTGTTTATACTAGCTAATCTCCAAAACAGCTGGACTGATTTTGATGGGACTTTCACTGACAGATAGCTGATGTTAAAAGGAGGGATTTTGGCTAATTTTATTTTAGAAAAAGAATTAGGGTTCCACTCAAAAGAATTAAAATGTACCTAGGGACGCACCCAAGCAAAGCAAGAGTAAGTCGCTAGTTACATATAAACATAATAATAGTAGATTTTTTTTTAAATCATTAGTAATTATATTATGAACAAAATGTTTAAATATTATTCACATTTTCTACAATGGTGAGATCTGGGTGCTTTATATCCTTTGCATACTGAGCAATATTGTAGATATTCTGTGTCAGCCTCATTTTCCTGGAATGAAATTATCAGTAGTTACATTCCTATTAAATTACTCATAAATGAATATATTATGAATACTTATAGACACTTTTGTTTAAAATATACATACAAATAGTTTTTTTTAATAAGGAAAAGACAGATAATAATATATTTTTAACAATACTGAAAAAAGATGAAATATCAAAAATTTAAAGACCAATTTAAATACTTAGCTATTGAAGCATACACACTACATACAAAATACACTTAGGTACATACTAAATACTAATTACTAAATCTATAAAAGTATTGCAAATAAAAATCTTTAAGTTTGGATTTCTTAAAAATGGTTACCTTAAAAAAGCAATTAAAATAATATGTCATTGTAATATGATATTGAATTTCAAAGTTTTTTAGATCTTAATTTGAATTGAAATAAATATAGAAATGAAAAGAAATAAAGAATTTAGAACCTTGTAGTCTCTAAAAAACCTGTTGCTATGTTGATATGCCAATATTTTTCAAAATAACTACTTATTATTATATGTTTGTTTATAATTTATATGTATGTAAATTATTATAAACCTTTTGTGAGTAGATTTTTTATTATATATAATACATAATGATTTTTGCAAGCACTTACTGGTTTCCATCCCAAAGGAACAAATCCAGGTCCTTCAAGTAGAGCTTGAAGGAAGTAATATAAGGTGGAAGCAGCCAAAAGTAAAAATAATAAAGCATGTAAAGCTGCTCCCAGGCTCTCATGAGGTGGCCACCACATCCCAATGAGATGTATCATTGACCATGTTATTAATTTTATAATACCTGATGAAAATAGTACTTAAGTTGTAGAGATTGGCAGATAAAAATTCTAAATTAGTTGAAAAATTAATTAAATAAATCAAAACATAAAATAATTTTGTGTATAATTTTGTTTTTAAGAACTAGAATGAATTATTTTTTTACCTAAGACTGCAATTGGACCCCAGTGACATAATCGACGTAACGGTGAAGACATTATTTTTCTTTACCTAGGTATATATAACTTATCTAGTTAATGAGAAAACTTGATATATTATTATACAAATAAATACAAATTGGATATAATTTAAATGTTATCAAATTTGACTGTTTGCGTTAACGTTTAATTTTCAATTACTTTTTACGATTTACCTTAACTTAAATAGGTATGTCTACTTAAGTAATATGTATGTATTAATTTTGTTTATTTATCCGACACCCGGCATTCGGCAAGCAGTATTCGGTATTCGGATTTTGGTAAGTGCCATGGATGACAAATAAGTGCAACTGATTAGTGATTAACAGGGCTGCCATATAGCAGTTTTTTATTTACCCGACCAATAAACCTCGAAATACCCGGTTTAGCCCGCCGCGCCAGCGCCAACCATGAGCAGAATACCCGAAAATAGTTATTTTTAAAGTAATTTATTCATATTCTATGTAGAATAAAAGAAAGTACTAATGTTAGAAAGAGAAGTCATTGTAATCAGTTTTCAATTAAATAACTTTAAATAATTAAATCAAACATTATAAAACTTAGAATATTAAATTAATCAGCTAAACTAATGTAGCTGATTTCTACTAAAATACTCGTCAAAAACTCAAAATTACCCACCAACAAAAATCGCCTATAATTACTCGCTTTTCGGGTAATTTACCCGCCAATTGGCAGCGCTGCTGCCATTTATCTGTCAGGTCAGTTGTCACAAATCACAACTGTCAAACTCAAAGTCTAAAACACAGATTATACACCTAATATACCTTCGATCAACAATACTACTATAATATCGGGTCGGCGCGGCGTAAGAAATCCATCTCGGTAAATATCAGCTGATTTGAAAAGTGAGCGTATATTTCGATTAGTTCTATTGAAACAATGCCAACGTAAGCTAGTCACGTACGTACATGTAGATTAAGTCAATATTTTAAGATTTAACCCACGAAATAATATAAAAACAAAATTTTGAACAATTTTAAAACCGCTATGAATGTTGGCCCAGGTCAGCCAATATACGCGCCAATTCAATGAAGCAAACAGAAACAAAACATAACATCACACAAAGCAACAACGGGAAAAAGTGTTTTTTTTTATAAGGTTGATTTTACAATAAAGATTATAAATCTTACGAAACTATCTTATGTGTATGATGATAACTCGAAGATTTGTGACTTTAAAAAACAAGATGCTATGGTGTTGATTAGCTTAAAAATAAAACTATTATAAGACTGTCTTGGTTCGTTAGTATACAAATGAAGCTGTATAAGTGCATATTCACACGGACAGAATTTAGCTTTGATTTTATATGTGACACGTTATCATTGTTGATCGAAGCCTATACTATAATCATCCTAAGGTACAGTACGTAATTACGACAAAATAATATTTCCCAAGTTTCAGGTTGACTAAAATTTTCATGCTAAGCAAATGAGGAAGAATTTTGGCATTTTATCCCACCAGATGTCGCGATCACTATAGCCTTTAGATTTTTTTCATTTTATTTAAAATTTAATTAGAATAACAAAATGTGCAGTACCAGAATGCAAAGAAAATGGATATTATTTGTTCTCAAAAGACAAAAACTGAAGAAATTATAAAGCTAAAGCAATAAGACGACCAAAATTGACGAAATCACCATTTTTATATTTTAACACCATAAAGGTAAATTTAAATACAACATCATAAAGATAATAAGGTAAGTTTCTAAGAAATTTATTAAAATTCTAAGAAATCTATTGTTATCTAACACGCTGGCGTGTCCGCGGTCGTGAAGGGATTATGGCTATGTGGACATCATTTTGCAGAAAGTTTTAAAACTAAATTGTCTATAGTGATTTTTTTGTACTTTTGTACATATTAATTACAGAGTTTCATACAAACTTTCAACCCCTATTTTACCCACTTAGGAGATGAATTTCGAAAAATCCAATCTTATCGAATGCCTACATCATATAAGGAATACGTCCTCAAAATTTCACGTTTATTCGACCAGCGGCTGTGTGTTGATCCATCAGCCAGTCAGTACCACCGCAGAATGCACCTATCTTTCTCAATTCTTTCTTCAGCAGGTCTAACTTCTAGGTACAATACATTGCACAGGTAAGATGTGAACGCAATAGTAGCAAAAAACTAGGTATAAAAGAGATATCACTATAAATTGCCCTACGTGTGGCGCTCTCCTTTCGTGAAGTCTTCCCCAATGAATCTTACTCTGCAATGGAGTTTCTATCTCTTAACTACGCCAACCACTCATTCTCAGTATTCAATTCTCTTGGTAATGCTTTTTATGAATGAGACGTACTATAACTTCATAGATTTAGATCATAATAAAATCATAAAAAAAAGTTCTATCATATGACCTTATTTGTTTCGAAAATTCTTTATAATTAAAACTATATTTTTTTATTGTAAAGTATAAAATGAGACATGCTATCTTACCACCCTGCTGGAACATGGGCTTACTAAGAAACTACATATAGGTGATCTATAAAAAATAAAAATAATATTGTAGGCATATTTTATTTAAAAATATATAGCAAATGTACACCTAATAATTTTATTACAAGTCCTAACTCCTACATGCCTCGAAATATGCTGGATATCCCTGATGAATGGCAATGTCGACGCTTTGGGCGAAAATCGAGCCGTCTCTTGCCAATAACAAAGACCAAGAAATTCTTATGTCTTTGAAAAAGTTTTTAGCAACTTAAGTTCACATCCAAATTTTCTATATACATAATTTGTTCTTTTATTGTATTATTTTATTTTTATGAGCCGATGTAATAATGATAAATTGCACGATATAAAGTTAAAAATGTCAATTCAATTCAATTTTCTTTTAGTAGCTTTTAAATTTCCATCTTATACTTACTTTTCATTTGAGGTTAATACAAATTACACAATAAATATGTAAACGAACATTTCTTCGTATTACTACTTATAGCATTTGTTATTACATGCCAATCTAAGGCGGCATAATTTCTATCTAATATATAAATATCTCGTTTCACGGTGTTTGTGGTCCCACTCTTTCGAAATGGCTCGAGCTCGACCGAATTTAATGTTTTCTTTTGTATATTTGGTAGGTATGAGAATAGGTCGTAAAGTATTTCACACCCTCCTACCCCCACCTCCCATTTTTTTATCGCAATTTTATTATTTTTGTGTTAACAATATCCAAATAATTAAATATTATATAAATACATAGGTACGAACCCAAGTAAAGCAAGGGTGTGTTGCTATAATATAACATAAAGCAAAAGAGTTTTTGCTGTAGATTAAACGCGGGGGAAGCCGCGGGTTCTGCTAGTATATGTATATTGATTATTGGTATTAACAAGAAAGGTCGAAGAAAATTGCAGTTATTTATAAATTATAGCCTGGTTGCAAGTTTAGTTTAAATAGTTATATTTTAGAAGGTATTTTTTTAAATATTTTTATAAATTTTGACTCATTTTTATTAGTGAATTAAATTCACTTCAGTAAACGCAACAAATTGTTTCTCTGAATAAAATGTCATTAAATGATTAATTATTGCCATGTACCTATTTGTGATAATTTCTGTTATAAACTATGGTATATTTTATACTATGATATATGGTAGCACTGTTTACCACGTCACGCAGTCACTTGTCACATCACATCGTGATATTTTTGTGGCTCTTTTGGGTGTGTGCTTTCTTCATGTGTGTTGTGCTACTTATGTGGATTATTAGGTGATATTCTTCTTTTTATTGGGTAAGTTTAGTGTCTGTGATCAAATTAAATTCATTACTTCTGTAATTTGAACATAAAACATGTGATGTCGTCTTATTCTCCCGTAACTAAAGAATCCCCGCCGGTGACTACATATTTACAGTCGCCGCCTGTATACTATTTTATGAGAAAACATTGTGAATCCTCTGTTAAAGAAAAGAAAACATACTTTTTACACACGTTTAATAATTGATTATCTCACAACTTCATAAATCAAGTTGACGCGGCACTAAATACATGTCAACCGCTTTCCTAAATCTCAAATTTTTGTGATAATGTCACTTACATAGTGCTTTTTGTTACAGATTGTGATCCTAAACCGCAAACATGCCTAAATCGGTAAGTCTCGCTTTTATATTTTATTAAAAGCTTAGTATTTAGTATTCTTGCTTTACGAACATCGACAATCAGAATGTTGATGCGTGTTTTTCCTGATTTCACCATTGCAATGTGATCAAGCAGCATATTAAATCACTGAACGTACATTATTTAGCTCTTACTTATATGAATGGAACTTAGTAGATGAATGGTGTAAAACAATATTATAAAGAGTTGTTTATGTATAAGACATCAAAAAGTAAAAGTGTTTGTTTAACAGGCAGTGGTCACATTGAATATCATTTATCTTTGATGTTTTACATTATATTATACTTGTGAAAATAAATGGTCACTAAAATATATCATCTATGATATAGGTAGTGGAGTGATTAACATAATGCACAATTAGTTAATGCTTCATTATAAATTGATTAATATTATTTATTGCGCAATTTACGTTAATTAATTATTAAAACTTTATTTAAGTTATATTTCTGTTTTTATATTAAAAAAATATCAATGAAAATAGTGTTGAAAGTAAACTTATTCGAAAAAAAATACAATTAGAATATAACATAAATAGCACATTTAATATATTTTTTTATACCATGCAGATATATTTTATAGTTTTGACATCTACATATGAAAAGTAAATATGTAAAAACAATTTTAAATATATATTTAGACTGGTTGCTTTCAACTTATCTGAATACAATTAAAATAAATTGTTTCGAATAAGCTGATATAAGGTTGTTAACCATTGATAATTTCTCATTTTTATAAAACAAGTTCATTATAGAATACTGAACGTTTTTAAAACCTGTATCTTTATATATAATACTTGTATATCAAACATTTTATATGAAGTTTGAATGAATAGAATGTTTATATTTTTTTTGTATATTTTATATGTTGGGATTTTAACACACAACACCATCTATTTCTATTGTAAGATACAAGGCTTGTGTTATGGATACCAGATAGTTGATACACTACACATTTATATACATACATATTATAAATAAATATAAACACCCAAGACTGGAGTACTAAACATTTATGCTCGTAATAAATAAATTCCTCCAGATGAACTCAAATCCGCAACCTCTGGCACAGCAAGTAGGGTCACACAACAAACAGTAAGGTATATATAATAATATATAGAACCTACTATTTGTTGTTTCAAAATATAAATAACATTGATTAAAGCTTTAATTTAACGTTCATTTTATAACTTTCTTTTATGCTGATTCTTATATTATAATGAAGGCTTTATGCAACTGCTTAGCTTATTTTAATGTAACACAATTGCCTATTATACTTACTAAATATTTATTTTTCAGATACTTGAATATATTACTAAAATCATAGTTCCCAGTGGGAATGATGTATTGGTTAGTCATGCTTTGCAAATTTCAGTTTTTTTATTATTGATTGGACTTTCTTTTAGTTTTATTCCTTTTTTTTAAATTGTATGCTATGTTTGCTAAATTTAACCTGGAGTGTATTGAATTTTTGTTTTAACTCTTACCTTTTAATGTGTTTGTTTGATTAAAATATTTTTATTATAGTTGGAAGCCAATTGATTTTAATGCTTGAATTACTTTGTTATGTTTGTTGGTGGGGAAAGTTATAGTATAGGAAATGTTTGGAACTCAGCAAAATAAATAATAAAAATAACATAATTTTAACAATACTTACTATTCACATATATGATATAATGCATTTCTCCAATTCATTTCTAATTACATAATTATAAACAGTAATGGTGTATCTCATCTTGTGTTAAGCAAATAAGTTGTGTTTGTTGCATGAAAATGTTAATTCTTGAAAGATCTGAAAAGAATAATAAAAATCATAATTTAAATACGAGCACACCTATTACCATGACCATAGTGATTATAATGTTCTGGACACATAATCATCAATAAAACGTTTTATTTTCATGTCGAATCTTGAGATTTATGACCCTCTGCTAACAATTCAAACGAAATTAGATATTTAATGGTTCTTTGAATTTGTATTTAAAAATTGCTGGGTACAGAAATGACAAGGGAAAATATGCATATGTGTTTTTTCATTTCTAATGTCGATAGCTAAAGGAAGTATTTTTGGACATATAATATTTGCTCTTTTATATAATAATTCAAACATTTTTTACAATAAAAGTAAGTGAAATCAAAAAAATATTTGTAATGGAGATATTTAGTTATAAGGATTGCTTTTTTTTTTTAAATTCCGTAACGTTATTGAGCATTTTATGAGGTATATTCTTAGTCGAATGTGAGCGCATAGGAAGGAAGCTAGAAAGTGGGACACGCGTTATCTAGTTAGTGGGCACTGCACCCGCACGTCGCGCCAGCACCATACACGTAATACATTGAGTAGGGAGATAAAAGGTTTTTCTTTCATCTTACCCACTCGCTTTCGTACGAACAAGCTCTACTTATGCTAGAGAAGCTAATTTTGTATCCAATATATACTATTGTTATGCTATCATCACATAATATATATTTTGTGGATCCTAAATGGGAGGATATATTTTCTTTGAGTGTATGCAAATATGTTAGGTACAATATTTTCTTTTTTTTTTCTTTAGCCTAAATGGCGTGAGGGATTTTAATGTATGAGGCTATTATTATTGATTTTCTTCCTTATTATGGCATTGACATAGGATATAATTTTGTAGTTAGTAAGGTTTTTACTTGATTTGTTTTTTTTTGTAAATTTCTGCTGCTCCGTTTTTTGCTCTTAGCTTGATAACCTGATTGCACACTATTTATAATATGCTGTTGTTGTATGTGGATATGTGACCGAAATTGGCCGAAAATATACCTACACCAAGAGATTATTTACATATTTGCTCAGTTTTGTGGCGTAATTTGAACTACATAGGTAACTACGAATATTACGTACCTGTAATTGTTAGATACATACATATTATATGTATAACGTATATATTTATATTGTCCACGTGACACGTAAATCTCGATACTTTTCATATTACCGTACAGCTTTCTACAGTGTGATAATAATTGAAATTGCTTTGCATTGTTATTTATTGGAAAAAAAAACTCCACTTTTGGCCTTTCCTCATCGACTGTGACTGAAACCCCTAGACCGTCACAATCTACAGCCATGAAAGCTAACTACTAGATTGCCGAAATAGTTTATTTTTTAATCATTTTAAATCGCAATGCTGCATGCATAGTTTCTACATGTCGATAGAATTATCGATTTCATTTCTATCCAATATTTTATGCATTATTCGATTTTCTTTCAGTATATAAAACATACGTCCAAGTCAGAGTCAAATATATGAGAAGAGAACAAACACAGCAACACATGAATATATATTAGTAGTTAAATACTGTCGCTTGAAAATTTTGTTAGTGGCACGGATGCACATGTCTCAATTATGCCGTTTTGACCAATTATTTCTATTGTTAGATACAAAAGTACTGGCGTTCTTCCTCTGTCTGGCAATAGATTGCCATTTATCATGGAAAATGATTTGTTCTAGCAAAACCATTGTTAACATAAATTTTCCTTTGTAATCAGTAAGTATAAGTACCTACTACCTATTCCACTCTTACGGAGATTTCTTTTTTATAATTAAAATATTTAAACTAACGTAGCTTACTCAGTAATTATTATATAAAAGACTAGCCTTTCTCAATAAATGGGCTATCTAACGCAAATAGAATTTTTCAAATCTTATTAGTTCCTGAGATTAGTGCGTTCAAACAAACAATCACACAAACTCTGTCTCTTTATAATATATAATAATAAATAATAAATTTAAAAAATAATATAATCAAAGTTACTTCAATAAACGTATATCTTGTCACACAAACTTCCATCGTTTAAGTCGGTTAAAAATACATAGGAAAATGAAGTAAAGTACTATGACGCTGACTTCAAGTCCTCTATTCCGTAGATTAGCGATGTATAGCCAGTGTCGAGTTTTAATTATCGTCTCGTCACACGCATTTATATATATATATATATATATATATATATATATATATATATGTTATGTACATTGCATGTATGATATATTATGTCTAAGTGTTTTAACCATCTTCAATCAATTCTCTTGTTAATGGCTTCGAAACGTGCCGGTCTTAATCATCTTATGGAGAATGTTAACATCTAAACTATAACCAATCAATGTTATATGTACTGGAATATTTTAAAAGTTTTCCTTGTGATACATTTTCAAGTTAATCTTCGTAAAATGTACATATTATCAGTTACATTTATTTTTAATTAATTTTAAATATAATCAAATGCATCTCATCTACTGCTAATTATTGTATTTTTTGTTATAGTGATGTAGAAGTTTGTGAAGTAATAGATATAATTAATCATAATATAACTAAAAGTTAACTATAATTTGAAGCATAGCTCAGTCTTTACTTTTAAAGTTAATATATAAAATAACCTATTACGTCTTTAGTCATCGATTGGATCACGATTCCATTTAGAAGTGAGAAAGAAATATATCCGTAGGCCGTCGTCCATAGCATTAATGTGAATATACACAGAAAGCTACCTGCCTAGGTGCAAAGTTAAGTTGCACTGAGCGTTCGATGTACTCAGATATATAAATAAAACTATGCGCCGTAATGATATTATATTGGATTATAACCTGTATCAATTGCTGATATAGAGGCTAAATTTGGTTGTGGGCATGTAATTTCAATATCAGGTAAGCCTTCGTCCTGCGCAGGCGCATCACGACCGTTCAGTTTAAACTCTACCGCCGCGTCCGGCAGACGCGGCTTTTACAGAATTATCTTGTATATTCACCCTATTGTGTGTGTGTGTGTGACCGTGACTTTTGTACCTGTGTTATATTAAAACCAGCAAAATGGTTGCCGGCGGAAAACAGGTACGTCTTATATAACGTTCAAAGGACAATGCTATGATATAGTCTCGAATCGAGTTACATAACAATCATGGTCTTCATAGGAAAATTTTGTACTTATCCATAATTCAAAAATATCCAATGAAATTCATTTCGAAGGCGTGTTATTTCATACATGATCCACCATTGCATTGTTTTAATTGAGCGTGCACTTTTCACGTTAGAAATTTTCACATAGCAACAGTCAAATGTCATATTTCTATGATACTTGTAGACTCAATTCATAAGTAACGCTGATGTCATCACGACGTCATACAAGTTGGGTCGGTTAAGATTTTATTACTTATTTTATCTCGAAACGGTTTTAACCGTCTTTTTCTCCCTGTCCCTATCGTAACCGGCGGATAAAAAGGGACAAAAGGTTTCCTGTCTCGCTAATGCGCCCTCGCTCTTGATTTCATTCGTTGAAAATAAAAAATATATATATATATATATATATATATATATTATATATATATATATATATAATATATATATATTATATATATACTATAGGAGCAACTTTAACCCGTTCGAGTTTAACATTGTCTAAGTAAATGCACGAGATATTTAAATATTATTTGCAAATGTTTTTATCTTCATGGAACTAGTCATTTTGTTATACGGTTGGCTTAATTTTTTTTTCTATATTACATAATACTTTATGTTAATATTATAACGATTAAGCATAATGCGATGCGTAATGACCGGTGAGGCCTCTAACTTTACAGAATGGCGAGATATACCTAATCGTTATCATAACTATATACATATATTAATATTTATTGATTCCCCATACAAACTTTCATCCCCATTTTCAACTCCTTGGATGATCCCTCCAGGGATGATTTCCGAAATAAAAAGTCCGATCCTATGTACTTCCCAGGGTCTCAAACTATCTTCTTACCAAATTTCATTTAAATCGGTTCAATAGTTTCGGAGCCTATTGGTAACAAACAAACAAACAAAAAATCAGATCTTTCCTCTTTATAATATTAGTATAGATTACATATATCGCGTGTAATTACCGTAAAACATTATAAATGTTATCTAATCGACATAGACGTTGCCATGTTCAAACGTCCCTACTGCTGAGAAGCCAATTTTGTACTAGTCTATAACAATGTACAGATATTATTCTTAATTACTTAATTAGTATTATTAGTTCCGGAGTTGGCTTAGAGCTAGTTTAGCCAGCTTGCTAGCTTTTAGCCACGTCGACAACATTTGCTGTACCAATGATTTTAACAAAAAATCACGCTGCAAAACGACGACAATAAGCCTTAAGTCAGATTATATCAAGGATCTTCCTCGTTTAAAGACCGTCTTATTTGACAAAAACAAAAGCAAAAACCTCTTTATACTTGTTTCTACTGCATTGTAACTCATTTGATCTCAGAATAGCCTTGTGCGGCTGAAACGTAATTACAATTTATGATTATTTATCAAATTCTCATTCAATTTTTTTTAAAATTAAGTTTTTTCCATTATATATTTAAAACTGTTCATATTAGACAGCTAGATGTTGAATTTCCAAAAATGGCTTCTAAGTGCGCACTTAGATTGAGCAACCAAATGATTTTTTTTTGTTATAAAAGTATTGAAGTAAATAAACCCATGTTTATAATAAATATGAAATAGTAAATTCGATATCTAGTTTGATGACCTCCTTTTTACATACTTCAATTTTTGTTTTAAAGGCAAAAACATTATTGGCCTACAAATGTTCTAAAGAAGTAGTGACCCAGACTACTTTTCATTTCGTTTCACCGTTACGTATAAGCTTGTCTATCAACTTGTAACAATTCTATGAAAATCATTTAATAGTTAGCATCTACTATGCCATATTGGTACCAAAATTTAATACCATAGGTAGTTCCTGCTCTATCTGGTGGACCCCTCATTCTGTTTCCAGGCGAAAATTATTTTGTAAACCATAAAACGTATAGGAAAACATCGTGAGGAAACCTGCATGTTTGAGAGAACCTAGCAAGTTTTCGAAAGACATGTGAAGTCCACCAACCAGCACTTGGCCAGCGTGGTGGACTATGGCCTGATCCCCCTCTTATGTAAGGGAGGTTCGTGCCCAGCTGTGGGACGTTAAAAAGGGCTGAATACAAAACGTATTAAGACCAAAAATTTGCGCCAGGCTATTTTTTTACTAAAAAACCTCTACAGATGTTTTGATATGACAACTCTATATTATTAATATTCTTATTAAATTATCCACATTTTGATACTTGGTTCATTCCGGAAAACGACACGAGCAATTAACTACATACTTCAATTTATCTATTTATACCTGGGTGTTAGCTAATGTGTTCGAAAAATGCCGCCAAATGTTAGATGGCATTTTCTACAAGTTATTTATTTTCGATTGCTACTAATTTGTCATAGGAAGAGTTTTAGTACTTAAAAAACTTTTGTTTTTTTTTTTTAATAGTCTGGAGCAAATTTTTGGTGATAACCCCTCTAGGTCGTGTTTGTTAATATGTTTTATGATTAACAAAAATCGTCTGGAAAAAGAGCAAGGGGTCAACCAGATACATCGGGATCTCCCACTACCATGACATCACTGTTTTATGATAATTACAGACTTATCATATTTTCCCTAATAGTTATTATATATACTATGTAAGTATATAAAGATTTATAAAAGTAATATTTTAGTCATGCTCTTAGTATTATTATAAAGCGTCTGACTCATAAAATACAGCAGTTATTGTTGATCGTAATACCTGTACAATAGTTAATTTTCCGCTACATTGTAGAGTGTTTCATCGATTTACCTTATAAGAAATTATTTTATTTTATTATAAATATATGTACATGTATTCATGAAAGTATTTGTATCGTTTCTAAGCCGCATGACCGTATGCTACAAAAGCATGTAACGTATTTACATCGCCAGAGAATGAGAGATTTAGGCGTCGAAGGAGCACACATGGACTTATTAATACTAATATTATAAATGTAAAAGTAATTTTGTCTGTCTGTTTTACATTTTGTACGCTTAAAACGCTGAACAGATTTCGATAAAATTTGGCAATGACATAGATTGCATCCAGATATTGTGGTACTCTTGAATCTCGCCCCGATTATAGGTCACAAACAAAATTTAGCAGATAGCATTCTCAACTGATTCTCTTATTTTAGGAGCCCTTTGGCATGAGTCAATCCGGAATTATTATTTTATACCGTACTAGCGACTCACCCTCGCTTCGTTCGGGTTCGTCCCTAGCTTGCTTCCCAATAAAAACTTTCATCCCCATTTCCACCCCTTTAAGAGATGATTTTCGGGATAAAAAGTATCCTATGTCCTTCCCAGTCTCAAACTATCTTCTTAACAAATTTCATCTAGATCGGTTTAGTAGATCCAGAAATTACCCCCTACAACGTCACAAACTCACAATCTCCTTTAAAAAAACTTTACCTCTTTATAATATTAGTATAGATGGAAGAATGGTTTTTGATACAAAAATAAGTAACTATTACTTCATTATAACCAGATATAATATCTAATCGCCAATGCAAGTATTGGCAATACAAACAACGGTTTTCGTTTGCACAATAATTTATCTTCAATGAAGTTGCTAAGCAAGTCTTGACTGGTTATTCATTATACGTATTATATATATATATATATTTATAGCCATATATATATATATATATATATATATATATATATATATTACTTTGTACTTAATTGACATTAATTTTTATTTAGGTTATTTTAGATTCAATGTTTCAAGTCGACCTTCTGAATCCACTTACTGATATTAAAATATATTCGACCTATATTAAAAAAATGCTTATGATCTTATTTATCAGTATTTTATATTAAAAATTTCTATGAATATTGAATAATTCTATATTTAATTACGTACCATATGAAATAAATTAAATATTTGCCGCATAAGATATGTTATTGTAGCTAATTAATTACTTATTAATTAATGGTGTCATTTATTTCTATAATATTATGTAAATAAAACGCCCCCTGTAGGCAAATTTTTATTACTGACATTAGCTTATGTGCTACCTCGCCAGTCTATCTGTGTACTAAATATTTAATCTATACATATCATAAAATTGTAACTTAGCCGAATCTGAACATTAAATATTTTTTTGGAAAATCATATTGAAATAAACATTATTATCGATACGGAGGCCGAATCTATAGTTTTTATAATTTTTGTCTGTCTATCTGTCTGTCTGTTACTACATCACAGAAAAACCACTGGAGGGATTTTGATGAAATTTGGTATGATGATATGGTCATCATATAAGATACTTTTTACTGTGGGAAAATATCTCATCTCTGAGAAATCTATTGTATTCAGCCCTTTTTACACTGGCCTCTCTTCAATACGCGGGGATCAGGCCATAGACCACCACGCTGGCAAAGTGCGGATTGGCGGAATACACATGTTTTTCGAAAGTTTAAACTTATTAAGTTCTCTGAGACATGCAGGTTTCCTCACGATGTTCTCCTTCACCGTAAGGCAAGGAAATCTATACTAAACGTAAAAACGTTAGTACGGACGAACCCGAGCGGAGCCAGGGTGAGTCGCAAGTTTCATTTAGTTATCTTGGTGTGAAGAAGTGACAAAACGTACACAATTACACACGCACGCACAAACTTCGGCATTTATAATAGTAGTGCGATATCAGTTTAATATTTTTTATAGCAACTGTACTTAAAAATACATCCAAGTACTTTTTTTTTAATTTACAATTCATCGCAAAGCAGGTTAGCGCATCCCATTCATGACTAGTTGTACTTGAAAATTAATTTGATGGTCGATATGCTCCGTGACCATAACGTTTCACATCGTTTAACTTACACTTCTTCGATATTATCTACACTCGGTTGACTAGAACTTCTTGTACGTTTATAGTAAGTACTTATGTACTTACATACATATAACTGCCTCGGTGGTGTAGTGGCTAGCATGTACGGCTGCACACTCGGAGGTCCTGGG